CGCGTGCACGAGGACGCCGCCGGCCCCGTTCCAACCGAACCGGTTGGAATGGGGCGAGAAACCCACCCCTGAATCAAAGTCTACACAATGTGACCACTCAAATGTTGACATCTTTTCCACTTCTCTTTCCCTTGTTAATTCCAGACCACATCAGCATTTTTCCAAAATTTCTGGGGAGGGGGATAGCTACCTTAACTATATATGTCTGAATAAAACAAGTTGGATCAGATCACATGATACATTAGTCAATAAAGCTGGCTATGATGAATAGGTGAGACCAACAATCAGCCTTGTTTGGGAAAGCTCACCATAATATGTTGCAAACTGCCTGTCCAAAACAAGCCAGAAGACAAACCCCTTAACAAATATTAAAGAACCATCCTTGGTTTTGCTCTCTCTTCTTTACAATGGAATAACTCACTGCTGCATTCATAATTTATACTTATTTAGGTAATCTATCTTTTTGCCTTAATGCTATAGTTATATGTAAGCACTGGACAGAATTGCTACATTCCAATTTCATTTCCCCCTGAACAGATATGAAAGTTCATTGTTAGCTAGGGTAAATTTTATTCAAAGATCGAATTCTTGGTATTAATCTTTTTGTTTGATAATTTAAATACTTTTATGCTATTTATCATCAAAATTTAGAGTTAACATTATGGGTGATTGTGGCCAGATGTTAAAATATCGGTAATGTGTACGCAAGTGTAGGATGTATCTGAAAAATATAGTTTGGATAAATGACATAGAATAATCCTCTATTTCAAGTTTTCTAGATGCCAACCCTTATGAGCTTATCAACATTTATGAATTTAAAAAAATGGTCTGAATTAGGTCTTTTCATGAGGTTTAGTATAAAATAATTTAACTTACCTACAGAAGGAACAGTCCTCTCAAGACGCTGTTTGTCTTCAAGATTATACACAGTAGAAATCACCTTTGCTCCTCTGTGTTGCGCTAACTGAATAGCTATTGTACCAAATGACTGCAGAAAAACAAAACAGCTATGTACATTTATTTATACATCTATATCTAGCTGCAACAGAGCCTATTAGAAAACAAAAATTTTCCAATCCTACATTCACAGTGTAAAAGAGCTCCTAGCTCTATCTGGAACATCAGAAACCTTGAAATTTGTACTTTTCTTCATTTTTAGCAACATAAAAAGAGCATAAAAAATGTCTTGAGAAAAATTAACCTGTTTATACATGATACATCCAAGGCTACAACATCCCAGAGAATTAATTAGTCTCTGCATGACATGCCAGCAAAGAAAGCCTTATCCAGAACCTAGTTCCATTGTTCCAAAAATTCAGTTACAATCTTTTTTCTTATATTACTCATTGGTTTTAGTCCTGTATTCTGGGACAGCACAGAACAAGCCTTCTCTGTCTTTTTAACATGTCAGCTCTTCAATATTTAAAAAAGCACTAGAATGATTTCAGTTTTACCTTCTCTAAAGTAAATATACCCTGTTCCTTCAACTTTTCTCCACTGGAATAATTTTTCTTAGCCATGAACATTTTCATTAGTTTCCATTGCATCTATTCCAATTTGCTACATTTTTCTTAAGGTACAAGATCCTGACTTTTGAGACTTTTAAAATTTTAATTTATTTAAACAAATTTTATGGCTGGCCAATTCATAGTGATGGTAGCTAACTGTCAACCAATATAAAAAAGATCATGCCTTTTCACCGGGTGCCATACTATGGACCCATGCCATTCATACTTCTCTCCATCCATGTACAAGCACAAGCACATGCACACACACACACACAGATGCAAATAAGATGAAATTATTGCTTTTCCATGCTTTTGAAACTCGTGGTTCTGTTAATGTAGCCACAAAAAATTATTATCAGGTGACACTTGTGATTTATTATAATTCAAAAATCTACTTAGTAAGCTGAATTACTATACCCCATTGCAATGCTATATTTCATTTTTTGCATTTATGTCTATTTCATTTTATTAATTTCAGCCATGTTTCCTATTTTATTGTTTGCCCAATTTTTGATACATACACATTTTCCCATATTTTGCTTGACTGAGATGCAAGCGTAAGAAATATAATGTTATAGAAATTAGTGGAATTTAATTTTCTGTGAAAAAAGCATGTCATATTTCATTGGAATTTACAGAATCACCCCATAATAGGCCTCCCCCTAACAAATAAATATCAATAGCATATTCCCTCCCCTCCATTTAAGTAACACAGACTAAGGTGATCATTTGGAAAAAAGAACAAGAATAATTCCAGTTGTGTGAACAGAAGGCTGCTTTAGCAACATTAAATTTAACCCACTGAATGTTTGATTCTAATAGTTTTCAGAATACTTAAATTCAGTGGCATTTTTATACATACACTTGCACCATCCATTATCAGCACGTTTTTTCCATCAGAAACATAGGACAGATAATGTAGAGCTGTATATGCACGAAGACCGTCACAAATGGTCCCAGCTGATTCCATCCAGGAGATTTTTTCAGGTTTGCGAACTATTTCACAAGGAAGAAAGTTTGGTGATAGACTTTATAGCAGTGTTGAAGCATACAGATGGTCCTTGACTGACAACCATTTGTTTAGTGATCATTCAAAGTTACAATGGCAGTGAAAAAAGTGACTTATGATCATTTCCCACACTTATGACAGTTGCAGCATCCCCATGGTCACAGGATCAAAATTCGGATGCTTGGCAATTAGCATATATTTATGTCAATTGCAGTTTCCAAGGATCATGTGATCACCTTTTGTGACCTTCTGACAAGCAAAATCAATGGGGAACCGAGATCCAGTTAACAACTGTGACAAGAAAGGTCGCAAAATGAGATGAAACTGTCTTAATAACTGTCTTGCTAAGCATTGGAAATTCTGATCTCAGTTGTGGTTGTAAGTCGAGGGCTACTTGTATATTAATTTAAACAAAACAACTGAAATGAAACATTCAAATTGCTATGCCTATGAAATCATTATCACACAAAAGTATTCAACATCCTCCCTTTTCCATTTGTTTCTCTATTAACAAATCTGATATATTGATTTTAGTTGATCAACTACCAGATATTTTTGAGAATAATGTTGATTTGACAATGATGTCAAGACATGAACATTTGAAAAAAGTCAAAAGTAGTTGAGTCAATTGTTTCGTAGAATAACAATTTGTATTATTATTAGCTAACTTGTTTTGAGTGCTAGGTTAGCTTTCAAATACATATATTAAGAAACAATATACTTTAACATTGGAAATCTAGAAGTTACATTCAAAATTTAATATGAAATTTGTCCGAAGATGTTCCAAACCAGTTTCAAAATTATAGAAATACAAGAGCAAACTGAAATCCAGATACTATACAAACCTATACATGCCATATGATTATATAAGACTTCATATTTTCCTGTAAATTCTATATATTTACAATATATGTACACACTTACAAACCTCTAAACATAGCTCCAAAATGAAATCCAAACATTTCCCTATTTCAAAGCAAATGGGGCACATTTTCCAACCGCAGAATAAATTTTACAACTGAAATTTTACGTGTTTTGCTTTGCAATGTGGAAGATTTCCAAATATGCTTTTCTACAATATACTAAAGTCACCATGGCTGAGTTCACTGTATACACCAGTTCATGTAATAGTAACTTTAATTCCAGACCCAACTCAATGTTCTATTTCCACCCCTTATGATTTTTTGGGGTGGGGGTGGGGGGTGGGATTTGGCTATTTTCCTTCTTATTAGTTAGTAAATGCTTCCAAAAGAAACCAAGAACATCTTAGAATAACATATTAAAAAAATGGAGCTTTTAAATCCAGGATAAAGTGCTTGTTTTTACACTTTCAGGGTTAGTCAGAAGGAAGAGTGAGTGAAGTAATAAGAGAAGTTTACCAGAAACAAATGAGTCAGCTTTTGTAGTTTCTGTTTAAAGAGAATAATAACTAATACTACTATTATTTAGAAAAAGTCAAATGATAATGTTTTGATATAAGATAACATTTTCATATTAAGCAAGTCTTATTATTCACAAATTGAACAATTTTTGAATACTTTAGGCAGGTACATTTCAAAAACAGTAATGTATTACTATGTTTTCTATCTACATACCTAAATAATGCTCATGAACCAGAATCTCTTCACACAATCCAGATTCTTCTGAATCCAATGGTAAAATACCTATGAAAACAGGATTTCCTCCAGCTTAAGACAAGAGTACAATCAGCTGAACAACATCCAAGCACAATCATTGATCTGCAAATCTTTGAATTCCATGTAATGCACCTGAATGTGAATAGCCGAGAAGTTTACTGTAATTTGTCCCTGATGTAGACATAAATAATCTGAATGAAAAATCCCCCCTTCATTGTTCTTTCTTGAATAATCATGTTCTGTAAAGTAACACATTAAAATAAATGTACAAAATAGATATATAGCTGGACCAACGTGAGGATATTTTGAAGAAAGTGTTGAAATTTAAACTGAATTATAATCTTAATCACTTAATTTATAACAATTTATAAAACTATGTATTGCTGGTATTTGGCACTGGATAAATTGTCAAATGTGTGGTGGAATTTCAAATATTAGTTGGAATTGTACTCAGAGAACGTATTTTTCATCTTTGGTGGACATATAAGAAAGCTAGAAAATGCTGGGATCAAATATGTATTTGATTCAGAAGATTTTAAAAGTAAATGTACAATTGAAACCAAAGGTTTTTCTTTTTAGATTTACAGATAGAAAGATCTTATGGAATTTTGTTTTTATGTAAAAGGAGGGAAGAATACAGGGAAGATAAGAGGTCACCAATGAGATATATCATGCTGATAGTTACTAAGGACAGGATCACACAGAGAGTCTTGGATTACATTCTGGGTCCAAAACAAAATGTTTTATTTCATATGCATGCCTATTCAGATATAATGGCATTGAGAATGGTCCATTCAAGGAGGATTAGAAAAAATCCTGTCAATATATTCATTAAATATTAACCATCCAAAAGGATTAAAATTTTCCTAGAAGAAATTATAGTTTTCAATGCCAACAAAGTTAAGCAATGGGCTATTTGAAAATACATAAACAGGAAGGTCCAAAATAACAGATTTGTTTTAACTGGTAAATTTTTACAATTAAAATGTTTTAGTTAATTAGATAAACTTACCTACTACCTCATCTTGAATCTTAAAGGAAGACACTTTATTTCCAACTGGAAAAAAGGAAATAAAGGAACAATAAAACACATAAAAGAACTATAGCACTTAAAATAACGTTATTGTTAATAATAATTTATTATAAAGTCTTCTAATACAATATGTGATCCACAACTTGATAACTACTGTATTTTTTGGAATATAAGATGCACCTTTTTTCCTCAAAAAAGAGGCTGAAAATCTGGGTGCGTCTTATACACCGAATACAACATTTTTTTTGCCTCCCGAAGCCCTGCCCCTTCACCAAAATGGCTGTGCATACCCTTATGGAGGCTTTCAGATAGCTCCTGGGGGCTGGGGAGGGCAGAAATGAGCACTGGCTTTTTTTGGCTCCCCCCAGCCCCCAGCAGCACTCTATAAGCCTCCATTAAGGCTATGCATGCAATTTTTAAAACAAAAAACAGGCCTGTTTTTGCCCCCCCCCCCTTCCAGGAGCACTCTGCAAGGTCATTCATGCCTTTTGGGGGGGGGGAATGGGCCAGTTTTGGTGAAAATGGGGTGTTTTAGGGGGGTTTGCAGAGTGCAAAAACTTGTTTTTCCTTTTGGAAAGCTCTTTAACTGATTGATGAGAATTACATTGATCAAGTGCTGTGCC